CATGGACTAACGATCCATGGTTTTGGCGCGCGGTCGCCAAATCCATGGATCGGGGGAGGCGCCCTCCCCAGAATGGGGCCGGTGCCGCCTCGCCTCGGCGGCGGCAATTCCCGATTCCCCATAAAAACCGGCGGTGGACAAACCTCCCTTTAGTAAACCTCCCCTCAATGAAAACGGCCTAGGACCGAAACCGACGGACCTGGACCCGCAAAAATGACGGCCGCGACGCCCTCTCACGAATCGAAAACGGCCAATTCCTTAATGGACGTGTCAGGGTAGGAGGTCTGTCCACCCCCGAAAAAGCGGGACCCGTCGCTAATCCACGCCCCCTTGATCCATGTGTGCGATCGCCTGGCATCCCAGGGGCGACGGCGCCTGCGAGTCCTTGTCTCAACGGGTGCCGAGCCACGGCTGCCCCCCGCGGGGCTCGCAGGGGGCTCCTCCTCCTCCTTCTCCCAAGGGATCCTTGCCCTTTTGGTCCATCCTGACGGACTCTCGCCGGCCAGCCTCGCTCGGCAACGTGAACATGGGCCTCCAAGGCCCTTGCATTAAGTCGGGCCTGTCCCTTTCAAGGGGGAATATTCAAAAACTGTCAAACAATAATATGGCGACTATTGTTTGAGTAGTTGTTTTGCCGTTTTGTATTTGTTTGGTGTATTGTTATTTTTCGTCGAGAATCCCCCTGTAGGGCGACAGGCCCGACTTCACCCTTGCATTCCTACCGCGCATCCTTCTTATACGGGTTGGCTGTAGCGCCTCCTGCTGCAGCAGTACGCCCCCATGCCCCGGCCGAGACTGTGCGAGGAGGCCGATGTAGCCGAGCAGAGGAGGAGGAGGAGGAGGAGGAGGAGGAGGAGGAGGAGGAGGAGGAGGAGGAGGAGGAGGAGGAGGAGGAGGAGGAAGGGGGAGGAGGAGGGGGAGGACAGGGCACCCTTGGGAAGCCTGCCCACCCTTCCTGTGCGGGCTGACTCTGCTGCTGCCGACGCCCTCCCCCCCAAGGGCACCCCGGAGGCCGACCCTGGATTTCGCCTACCGCCCGGGTGCCTTCGCATATATGGTCCAGCGTCCCGGAGCAGGAGCCCAGCATCCACAATTGAGGCCTCTCGGGCTCGGAGGGCCCTCTGGGACAGCATGCGTGTCCAGGAGGGCAAGGTGGAACGAGGTGGTCTCTTGTTCTCTCGGCTGCTGTCGCCATGCTCCTCAATTTCGGCTGGGAGGATGCAACGGCCCGGATGTGGACCAGCCCCAGTAAGCGTTTATCTAAAATCAGGCCTGGGACCGACCAAGAATGATCAAGAGATCTTGATCGATGATTGTACCAGAGGTATCAACCTTTGTATTGGACCCAGGCCTTTCAGTACTACTGCGGATCCGGAGCTCAGTGTGGTGTCGACACGTAACTACACCATGAGATCCTTCGCCCCTAGAAGCGGGACGAGGCTGAAGACACCCATCTCATTCCTGCTGCCCGAGCTGTCGCCAAGGTGGTAGTATGGCACGGGGAGAGGAGGTTCCAGGCAGAGATACGGGGCAGACAGGGAGACAGCCTTGCACTGCTACTGGACGTGCCCGAGGCTAGCAAACATGGCCGCCAAATGCCTAGCCATCCGCGAGAGCAAGCATTTACGAGACCGAGCGGTGGCGGAGAGCCCCAACAACTCGGCCAAGTGGCTAAGCAGGCCTCCAGCTGCAGGAGCACACGGTGGACATAGCTAACAATTTCCACGGCAGCTCAGATGTGCAGGGTTCTGGAGCTCCTCGAGCGCCACACCATTTTCACAGAGTGGCGCCTTGTAGGCGTTGATGCGTCGGCAGGCAGGTACAACTCCGACCCCAGGCTCAAGCGTTTTGGCTGGGGGGCCTGTGCTTTCTGACGGTCAAGTTTGGCCGCAAAGTTCGCTGCTTGGGCCCGTACCTGGCAAACAAACGGTCAACAAAGGGGAATGGCCGGCTGCCGTCTATGCTCTCCGCCTTGACGGGCCCGTGCACATCATCACAAATAGCCAGTCTGCATTCAAGGGCTAGCATAACGGCCAGGGGCAAAATCACACATATAACCACAACCTCTGGAGGTTGTTCTGGGATTCGGTCCCCGCCAGGGACCTCCACTTCACGCTGCATACAGCTACGAGTCATCGATCGGTCGAGGATCTGGAGTCGGGCACCGTCTACCTCGTCTGTTAGGTTGTCAGCTGGTGCAGTTGCCCGTGGTGCATCTGAATTTCTGGAGCTCCCTGAAGAAATACCCGACCATGTTCAGAACCAGGATGACGAAATGAGGCTCGTAGTGAGGCAATTCGCATCTATTCAGAATTCTGCCCGGACTGAGGGCCCCAAACTCAAGGATCCCAAGGTGCCCAGAGATCCTCAAGTCAGGAGGCTCTGCGAACTTCAGACTGGCCCCCACGCCATAGAGAGGCACGGGGATCGTATCCAGTGTACTAGGTGCGCTCGAATAGGGACCATCAGCAAGGCCCGCTGGACCCCGAAGCCATTGAAGGGGCCCCAGGACACACAAATAAATACACACAAATAAAAATATTCCCCATATTTTCCCATATTTTCTGGGTTTCTGTCTTCCCCCCCACTTCCCATATTTTCCCATATTTTCTGAGGAATCGAGGATTAATTGTGTCTGTGTTTTTTTCCTCTCCTGAGCCATGTACACCCCAACATCGCATTTCCGGGGCCCACGAGACCCATTCTCCCCACCTCCGTGTCCTTCGGGGTGTCACACTCTTCGTCAGGTGTGGGGGCTGGAGCGCTCACGGGAGCAGAAGACTCAGGGAAGAGTGTCGGCCCCCGACCGTGACTGGACGCAAGCGCGTCCCACGCTTCTCGGCGGGCCAGAAGCCACATGGGCTTCCCTCCTGGCCAGCAGGTGAGGTTGCAACTCGTGAACGTACTGCTCGGGTGGCAGGGGCCGTGCCTGCCTCTCTAGGCACGGGGCAGGGGTTCGCGGCGCGCGCGCGGGGACACCCTGTCCGGGGAAACCGGGAGGAGGAGGAGGAGGAGGAGGAGGAGGAATCGGCTCCGAAGTCCAGAGACCCTACACGTCGGCTGGAAGAAGTGGGCAAAAGCATGAGGCAGGAAGTCGGATATCGAGTAGATTGGGCCCATGCCCCCCCCAGAAAGTAACAAAACACACGCCCGAAGCAGATCGATGCGTGACGCAGGGAGGAGCCTGAAGCAGACTGGGATCTGGGAGTCCAGAGATATACCTACGTTCGACGACCGGCGTACGCGTGCCTGCCTTCCACCTGGGTGTGCAGCACGGGGGGGGGATGGCGGCGACGGTGGCGGCGGAGACGGTGGCGGCGACGACGGTGATCGTCGTCGTTTTCGTAGTCGTCGCCGCCGATGTTTCGGCCCCCCGATTTTCCGAAGACCTCGTCGCCGGCGCGCGGCGGGAGCTAAGGCGGCGGCGGCGATCGTCGTCGCCGCCGCCGTTTTTTGCTGCCGGGCCTGCAGGCCAGAAAGGGGGGAGGGGCACGGGCGGCCCCATCAGGAGTACCGGCCCCTTTCTCGCGGCTGCAGCCGGCAAGGCTGGCCATGCAGTGGGGGCCCGACCACGAGAGACCTTCCACAGGAAACCCGGCCCCGAGACCCCAGGAGGGTGTCCATCGAATTGTGGTGTGGGAGCGTCACGCTGTTCCATGGCAGAGCCATCGAAACCGAAGAAACCCAGGGCACCCTGGAGGCAAGCAGGGTGCTTCTCGGCATGGGCCCCCAATGCAGACAAGGCCGAGGCCTCCTGCCCCATCTCTGGGCGCCTCCAGGCCTCCCCACTGAGCCTCCCCACTGAGCCTCCCTCAGAGCCTCCCTCTCCCTCCTCCTCCTCCTCCTCCTCCTCCTCCAACATCCTCCTCTCCTCCTCCTCCTCCTCCTCCTCCTCCTCCTCCTCCTCCTCCTCCTCCTCCTCCTCCTCCTCCTCCTCCTCCTCCTCCTCCTCCTCCTCCTCCTCCTCCTCAACCTCATTCACGAGCGGCGACCACTGCAGTAAGCATCAGCTTCCTCGCGATCCAGATTCTGGGGCGCGATCCCGTAGACAAGAAATCGCATGGGCACGCTCAGCACGGGCCACCCTGCTCCAAAACGCACCCCCATCCATTGGGTGACTTCCCGAGAGCCCCGCCCGCGAGGCCGTGGATGCGGTTATACAGTGCCCCGACGTCATGAGTTGCTCGTACGGTGATCCCTCAATGGTCTGGACCCCTTCCCGAGTCGGTTCTTGACTCTTGACGGGCCCAGAGCCTGGTGAGGGCCCCCCCCTCGGAAGCCAAACGGACCCGAAAGCATTCGGTCGCGATTCCTTTGTGACGCGAGGGGGTCTGGGCAGGTCCTCCGCCCGCGAGGGTCTCAGGATCCCCAGGGGCAACTGTTCGCCACGGGTCGTTCTCTGCAGCTCCTGGGTCGCTGGAGCGGCTCCTGGCTGTCCAAGTCGCAAGAGAACCCGCCGTCGCCACCGTCTGGCCAAGATCCACGCAAAATGATCCATCGCTGGACTGAGACCCAACCCTGGGGTCCACCCTAGCCAGTTCTTCGAGCTACGTGCTGTCGTGGCGAGGAGACCCTCCAGAAACGCCAAACCATCTTATACACGAGATGCAGCGGGGTCGTCGTCGATACCCCAAGCATTCGCAGGGTGGTCAAGAAGTCTGAGCACTAGCCAAACCTGGCTTGGAGTACCCCCTAACCAAAACAGTCAGGATCGGGTACTCATCGTACTTTTTGGTAGTTCTTTGGCCTCCCTCTGGAGAATGTGTCGTTTTGGCTTCTTTCCCCCCTGGTCGTTACCTGTAAGGATGATCCATGCAACGTACGCCCAGATCTGGCAAAAAAGCGCGTCGGCTTCGTCCTCGTCCTCGTGGCCGCCGCCGCCATTCGCATCACTCGTCGTCGCATCCGCCGCTGCCGTGGTTGTCGCCGCCTCCACCCACGTCGTCCCTGCTGTCGCCACCGCCGTCTTGCGCGATGCCCGCGGCTTCAGCAGCACCGGCCTGGAAGACACCTCCCCGCTCTGCGACACTCCCGCCGAGGAGGCCCCCGCGCCCCAGCCGCCGCTGCCGTGGTACCGCGACTCCAGCATGGGCGACTCCGCCGTGCCCCAGTCGTTGTACTCCGCCATGGGCGACTCCGCGCCCCAGCCGTGGTACCGCGACGACGCCATAGATCCGGGGTTGCCCGGAGGCGCTCCAGGCCCGAGATGCCCCCCGGCTCTCCGCGCCATCCTGGGGCCCCCAAGGGCCCTCCGGGCCTCGTCGGGGGCGCCCTCGGGAGCCGTTGTCGCGGCATGCATGGGGATGCTCGGGGCAGCTTGGGCCGGGGACACCTTCCTCTCGACATCAACCTTCTGCAACTCACGAGCGACGAGCATATGCGTGGCCGCCCCCTCGCGGCCTGGATCCTGGGGCGCGGAAGCGCGGTCGCACGAATACGTTCCGCGCGGGACATCCGCCAAGAAGAAGAGCACATCTCCGTGGGATCGTTGGCCAAGGGCCTCGCCCGCGAGGCCGCGGATACGGTCAGGCGTTGGTGGGATTGGGTTTAGAGGGACCTGATTTAGTGATGTGTACCGGGGGACGCCATCCCCGCCCCAGTCCACTAACCGGAACTGCCGTCACCCGAAGGAACACCGACTGTGTGATTCTGGTCCATCTTCTGGGCTTCGGGGCCCAATCACTAGCCAGCTCCACTTACACGGGGCCCTAGAACCGATAACAGATCCATTTTCCGCCCACGAACCACTTCTAAGCGGCAGACGCCGTGGCAAGGTCGCCGCCGGCGTGGCGCAGGAGCGGCTCGCCGTCGAGGCCGCGCCGCGGCAGCCTCGAAATGACCTGCTGGGCGGAAGGCTCGGAAGGTGGAGATCCAGGGTTGGCAACACCAATGGTCGGCGACTCCAAAGGGTGTGGTTTGCAAAGGGTGTGGTTTGCGACCGGCACCCTGGGGAACATCCTGGGGGGCACCTTGGGGGGCACGCGGGGACCTGGACAGAGCTCTCCCGCGCCCCGAGGAGGACAGTATCGTGCCCCCCAGGCCCCAACGGGGCCGATCGCAAACCGCACCCTGGCGTAACCACACCCTTTGTAGTCGCCGAAATGGGGCCCCTTCGGTGCAGCGGCCACCGCCGCCACCCCGAAGTTGCTGCCGGCGCCGCACGGCGGCCGTCCGGGGCTGCGCCGAGGGGGGCGGGGAGAGGGCGCTGCGGCTTTGCCGCGGTGGCCCAACGCCCGCCCGAGCCGAAACGGCTCCGCGCGGAGGGGGGTCGCCGCCTCTGGTGGTCTTGCTTCCCACCGCCACCATCATAAAGAGGGGGAGAGGATCTTCCGTCTCTCCTCTTCCTCCTCCTCCTGCTCCTGCTCCTCCTCCTCCTCCTCCTCCTCCACCTCCTTGCCCCCTCCAACTTCTGGTGGAGGTGGAGAAACAGGCCCATCAGCCTCCGTTCCGCCCAGAGCAAGCGGACAAAGCAGCCTCGGAGCTTGGCTGAGCCGACCACACGCGATCCTTCGCGTCGCTTGCCCAGTCGCATGTGGGCCCTAGCTGAGATTGTCTGGGTAAACTGTCATTTCTCGTCGAGGGCTTGCTGACGCGCCATCTGGCGATGAGGGACAACAGGAAGAGGAGGGGAAGGAGGAGGAGCAGCAGGTAGACGAAGAGGAGGTTCACGCACGGCTTGGTCCCTCCAGCGCTACTCTAGCATCGGGTCGGACTAACCGGGACGGCATCGAACTCAGGGAACGTCGGCGGCGCCGTTGTCGCTCCAACTGCTTGCGCGAAGGGCGGACGAGAGTAGGCGTGAACACCTATAACTCACAGGAGTCTGGGCATCAACTGTGCAACTATACAGCGGTGCTTGTCAGGGTTGCCGGACCCAAGTGTCGGTGAATGCCCGATCCTGGCCTGCCAAGGTCGGCGATGGTGAACACTTGGCATCCCCTGGATGAAGTGGTCATATGGTAGTTTCCTTCGAAGCTCCTCTAGATCCTCCCCCACGCCCTTTCAAACCTCCAGTCCATAGACTACAATCTAGATGCCCATCGGTCGAAAGGAATGGGTATAACCATGAAGCAGGAAGGCGTTGGAAATATAGTTACTGGATCTGCACCCGCCCCCAGACGAAGGAACAACGAGGGAAACCCACTCGAGCCCTGAAGCAGGAAGGAACCTACAAGTGCTTCCAACATGTGCTTTCAACAACTAGTAGGTAACTCTCAAGGGGCCCAAGGACACACACTTAAGTACATACAGATATTGATATTCCCCTTACTTTCACATACTCTCTGGGTTGTTGCCTTCCCCCCACTTCCCATAGTTTCCTATAGTTTCCGGGGAATCGACGATTAATTGTGTCTGTGTGTTTTCCCCTCCTGAAGCTCTTGCCACCCCCACCTCCACCCCGGCGGCGTCCTCTGCTGCTGGGTCAGCCGGCTGTGTGACATCAAGCGCGAGGCGTTGTTGAAAGCCGCGCTCCAGATCCTCCAGTGAGGCTCGGCTGCCGGCCAGGGCTGCAGCCGAACGAGAGCTGAGGAGGAGCTGGACGGGGTCGGTGACCCAGATATCCTCCTCTTCCTCCTCCTCCTCCTCCTCCTCCTCCTCTTCCTCCTCCTCCTCCTCCTCCAACTCCTCCTCCACCTCATCGTCTTCCTCCCCCTCCTCCTCCTCCCCCTCCTCCTCCTCCTCCTCCTCTTCCTCCTCCTCCTCGTCTTCTTCCTCCTCCTCCTCCATGCTGGCCCCAGGCGGCGAACCCCTCGGCCACGAGCAGACGCCCGAATCGGAGGGAGAGCCCCAAAAAACAGAGCCCCTCCTGAGCTCAGAGCGGTCCTTGGCTCCGCGTCCTGGCTGTGGGGGGGGGAGGGGGGGGAAGGCGGCGAAATGAGGAAGCGGGGATGTGGGCCAGGGAGAACACGGAAGACGCAGAGCACGCGGAGGAATGAGAGAAAGGCGAGGACAGGGAGCAGGAGGAGGAGACAGGGGCAGAGGAGGAGGAAGAAGATGGCATGGGGGCGCGCGAAGGAGGGGGGGAAGGAGGACGCAACGCACGACTGCTTTTCCAGGCGAGACGCCGACGTTCGGGGTGCTTGCTCCGGGACTCCGAGGGCGAGCAGGGAGGGAAAGCAGGTGACGAAAGAGAGAGGAGGGGAGAAACAGGGAGAAAACAAAGCATGAAGGAGAGGTTTGAGGGGATCAAGAAGGAGCTGGCGCAGATACAACATGCACTGAGTGAGCAAAGGGTGGAGTTGGAAAGGGCAAAGGGCGCGCAGGGGGAAGGAAGGGAGAGGAACCGAGGAGCGGAGAAGGGAAGCGAAGTGGGGATGGAGAGGGTCGTAACCTCCAATTTGTGTTTATGTAAGGAATCGAACTCTATACACCGACGCTTCTTCTGGCCCTGCATTCGAATTCGCACAGGAACGCGAATACTGGTGTATACGGGATCCTGGTGTATACGTTTCCGTTGTTTTCCCGGAGCATCGGGGGGAAAAAAGTATACACCACACCATCTCAGCGTCGTCCCCGACCCTCAAAAAGTCCTGGGATTCAAGGAACAGGCCGCCACTGGTGGTGTATACGTTCGAGCTTCCGAATGAAAGAGAGAGCAGGGGGAAGGGAGAGAGAGAAACCGAGAAGCGGACAGAGGGAAGCGAGGCGGGGACGGAGAGGGTCGCAACCTCACATCTGGGGTCATGGGGGCATTCGGGATTGAGGACCAAAGAGCAAGAGCTTTGACGGAGGAGGAACAGAGGAGGAACAGAACTTAGTGGGCCCCAGAAACGGCTGGGCCGTTTTTCACCGTTTCCAAAAAAACCCTTGAAAATGGAAACAAAAAAAAACGGCGACCGGACACGGCAACAAAAACAGCTCCAGTATCGGAACCAGAGCGGGAACCCGCAAACGACAACGGAAATGGCAAACAAACGGCGTTGGAACTAGCAAAAAAACGGCACAACGGAACCGGTAAAACAACGGCCCTGTCGTTTCCAGGGCCCACTAAGGCGCAGGAAGGGGGGGGGGATGGAAGAAGTGCCTCCAACAGTTCCAGTGCCGAGAACAGAACATTGGCAGCTGGGCACTTGGGTGTTGGAGCAACGCTGGCCTCACCTAGCTAAGAGCGGTTTCCGGGCACACACACACACACACACACGGACGCCATCCTCCTTTTCCGCCAGCACAACGCGGAAAGCCCGAGGACCCACTGCGGGCCATTCGTATGCACATCTATTGATGGAGATTTAGGAATGTAATTTACTGGCCCGAAGCCGATAAAGAACGTTAGGGTGAATCCAGGGTCGGGACACCCACCCGGACAGCCGTCTCCATCCGTCGAACATCTGCATCGGGCTCACTACCTAACAGTGTCACTATCAATATGTGTGTGGCGGTATATCGATCTACACATCGATCAACATCATTATCGATTCCATTATGTATCGATTGATCCCACTACCTGACGGTCTTACTAAGTCTGCTAGAACCACGCTCGCGCTTCGCGCACGCTTAGATTATAGCGAAATCTGGTTGTAGTCTAAAAGTGTTTGGAGTCGGAAGACATGTAATGTAACACGGATCGTGCCCCTCGGGGAGCTCCATCGACGGCCCCAGATATAAATTGGCTTGGCGTCCCCCCTCCCATGCCCACACACCCCTCAAAGGGATCGCGCCGCACAAGGATCTCCACCTACGTCCCCAGAGACAAGGCTCGGAGAATGGCACGCCCCTCACGCGGGCCGTGACCAGCAGGCAACTGAATGTGCGCCACCAAAGGTCGGGGATCAACTGACCCGGTTCAATGCAAACCCGGGTCAGTCAGACTTTGCAGGACCCTGTTAAATCCTGCAAGATCCTGTCCTGCACCCAAACCTGGGCCAATGCGCCCCTGGCCCTGCAGGATCCTGCAGGTCTGGCGCCATGGCTGACCCCGGTCTGCATTGACCCCCGTCTATTGGGCCCCGAAGAGAGGAGCTTCCCAGCGTCGCCCGGCTTACTCCGGCAGGCCTCTCTCACGGATCGTGGCCCGCAGGGAAATCACCTCTCGCGCGGATCGTGGTCCACGGGGGTCTCCACCGGACTCTTGGGGGCCTGGCGGCGGCCCGGGGAGCCCACTGGGAACGGAGGTCTCGACATGTCATTTGGAGTTGCCCCACTTGGATCCATTGAAAAGCACTTTTGGGCCGTCGTGGGCGCCTGTTGGACCGTCTTGGGGCAATCTTGGGGACCTCTTTCTTAGGCCGTCTCGCTCTTTGGGGCCCCTTGGGCCTCTTTGGACGCCCATAAAAACCACAGTACGAATATGATCCTCCTCCTCCTCCTCCTCTTCCTCCTCCTCTGTCCTACTCGGTTTCCTCCTTTTCCTTTTCCTGTGTATTCCTCCTCCTCCTCCTCCGCCCCCACTTCGGTCCTCCTGAGGGGGCGGCGGCGACTAGAACGGAAGGTCTGTTTTTGTGGTGAAGCGCATGGATCTCGACAAAGCAGGCGTGAAAGAAATGCAGTGCGAACAGTGCGCTCTACTAGAAAATCAATCAGAGCTTGTCTCAAACAGTGGTTGCACTCAAGAGATCGTATTTGTTCAAGAGCTGGGCCTAACTGGCGGTCTTGCGGCTCCGTGTTTGACGTCGCCGCCCTGTCGCCGCCCGTAATCAGGGCCTGAATGGCGGTCTGGCGGTTACGTGCTCGCCGTCGCCAACTCGTCGCCGCCTGGATTGCACAACGTAGATTGGACCACCCGCATTCTCCTTTCCAAAAAAAGGGATGGGTTCCCCCTCTCCCCCCCCCCCGGATTCATCCACTCACCGTGAACCGATGCAAAGCACATCGGGTTCAGACCCAATGTCCATCCTACCTGCGAACTCAAACTATCACACCTAGGCCGGTATCGCCCCCCCTCCGTTCCCTTGCAAAAAAACTATGCGCGCACAGCCGTTCATCAAAAACCACAAGTACCCAATGTTTTACTGGAACGAACGGCGCACGCTCGCGTCCTCGCGCGCGCAGGCCGAAATCCTGAAAAAAACCGCTTGTTACGGAAAGAGTTTAAATCGAGTGCCCCAAAAACATGTTTAATCTCAAAACGTGGTTTCGCAACACGGGTGTTCAACAAAAGCGTGCGCGCGCGATTGCGAATCCTTAAGAAAACCATCCGTTGTTCAACCTATTGATAAAATGCTACCAAACGCGCTGAGCGCGCGCGCGTGCCGAAATTGCTCGAAAGCCCTTGCGCGCGTGCTGGGGTGGAACGATCCGTGTCAACAAAAATACAATGCGAACCACTCACCCGCGTGTGCCGCGCGCGCATGTCGAATTCCTCCCAGATGTTTCATCACTAACGCGACGACGCCGCCATCGTCGTCGGCATGATCGGCATCGCCGCCGTCACTGGCCGCGCGACGTTGCCATGATACCGCGACAGCCCACTTCGCCGTCTCGCACTCAAGTGCCCGCTGGGATGTGCCGAGCGGTCAGCACCACCACGGCCGCGTCGGTCGCGCCTAACTACCTGGCCGCTGCGCGGGCGCGCGCGTAAGCGCGGGCTGGCGCGGCCGCAGAGATGCACCAGCCAGCGCCAAACACTCATTGCAATCGCGCCCGCAGGATGTCTGCAAACCAAGTTGCGGGTGGGTGAGTGACATGTTTGCGCAAGCAATGGGGTGGACGACTCACTGCGAACTAAAAAAAATTGCACCGCCTGAGCTGCACCACAGAGACTCCACAACAGCTATTGCACCACATAACTTACAACACATCGATTGCACCGCATATGATGCAACACAGAAATTGCACCATGTACATATGTATATATATATATATATATATACATTGCACACCTTAGGCAGAACAACATAGATTGCTGCACAACGATTGCACCACATGGATTGCAGGACGTAGCTCGATTGCGCAGCATGGATATTACAACCCATATTCCCCTTTCAAAAAATACATATAAATTCTACCACCCGCACCCCCCAAACTTATCGATCCCCCAGGAACCGATGCAAAACACATATGATTCCGACTTGTCCGGCGAACCCCTCATCAACAAATCGCATGCAGGGCACACGCGCGCGGCCGCTGCGCGCGCATGTCGAAGTCAATCCAAACACACTGTGCTTTCGACAGTTTCAACCTCCCGCTTCAAAACCAACAAGGAAGCCATACGACTTTCTCATCCCAAAATTCTGAAACATCTGCCCGCGCGCTCTTGCCGACTCCCTCAAAACCAATGGTTTTTCAACGTTCCTGTCAAATCGGGCTTCTTGGGCAACGTTTGCGCGCACGTCGATCTCATTCGACAACGGTCGCGCGCCTGCCGAGGCCACAATCCCTTGTAAACAAGATCATGCGGGGCACGCACATGCGCGCGGACGACGCGCGCGAAGGTCGAAATCCTTCCAAACACATGGTGGATTCAACAATTTCAAGACCGAGCTTCGTGAAATCACACGAATCGTATCATACATCCTCGAACACAATCGGCAAACAAATCAAACAATTCTACCCCCGCGCGCTTTCCGAATCCTGAAAAATCACATGGTGTTCAACATATCTGTCACGCGTGCAACTTATGCGCGCGCGTCGAACGCCTTCAACATCGGTCGTGCGCCTGCCAGGGCCTGCGGGGCACATGCACGCGGCCGCAGAGATGCACCAATCAACACCAAGCACTCATCACAATCGCTTCCGCATGGGTTGTGCAAACCAAGTTGCGGATGGGTGGGTGGGATGATTGAGCGAGCAGTGGAGCTGACGACTTCAAGTTCGGCAAGTGAATTGCACAACCTAGATCGCACCACATAGATTGCCCCACTTGAGCGTTTTTTTTATTCGGCGTTTCGACGATGGAAGAAAGGGGGGCAGGGGGGGGCCTGGCTCCAGACCTCTTCTTAGTGCGACTGTTTACAGCAGTGCGTCCATTATGGGGAAGGCTCCACCTGCTCGAAACACGCGCCAAAACCGCCAAGATCTACTCCAGGGGGGGTGCGAGGGCCCGCGCTGATCGGCAAAACAACGAATAAAAAACGACCACCGCCTAGATTGCACACACACACACACATACACTGTTTTGGATCCGCGCTGACTAGCATATGTTTCTATGTATTACGATGCCTGAGGCAGGCGAGCAGCTTAAAGGCCTGTCCAGGCAACGACCGCGGAATCACAACGAGTCCGTGCGAAGGGTGAAACCCACGGCAGGACTCGACAAAGCTTGTGTGAAAAAGTGACTGGACCTGCCAACACTCGGCTGCACCGCTCGCCACGCTCCAGGCTGGCGGTGGCGACTCTCCGCCCGCCTCCAGCGGGCCGGCCCCCTCGTGATCGCCGACTCGCAGAGGAGGAGGAGGAGGAGGAGGAGGAGGACGAGGAGGACGAGGGGGACGATCGGAGACCAGCAGGCGAGAAACTTCGAGTCTCTGGCCCTGGCACTCTCGGGTCGGGCGAAAGGGGGGGATAGCAGAGGGGGGGTTTGAGAATCAGCTCACGTAGCTGATTTCCCCGGCGCCTCCCGGCGCCGGGAGGCGCCCATGTATCGAGGAATGGGCCCGGCGGCGGGGCCGAAACCAGCTGCATGCAGCAGATTTCGTAACCCCCCCTTTCCCAATCCCCCCCTTTCGCCCGGCCCGACACTCTGAGGCGCGCTTCGTGCAGCCCTTGCCCCCCGGCGGAGGCCGAGGCCGGGCCTGAAAAGGGGCAGCCGCGGTGGGTACACGTTGCGCAGATGACTGGCCTGTATGGCCGGCAGCAGAGACCCAGAAGAACTCCCAAGTGTGACTCTGGCATCGCTCGGACGTCCATTCCCTGTGTTTTTGGTCGGCTTCGTGCGTGTTTTTGTTCGCCAAACGATCAAGGGTGCTCCTCGATGGCCCTCGCCGAAGGAAAAATGCACACGTCCGAGCGATGCCAAGTGACCGGCAGCAGAGACCCAGTGGGTAGCTTGTGCCAAGCATCTGTGGCCCCTGTGACCAGTGAGCGCTAACACGTGCATCGGCCGAGGGTGCACGCCGATGGCCTCTCAAGCCGTCGAATTCTCAAGAACGCTGACAGCGATGACCAACTGCGTAGAAAAGATGGGCCCGAGAGTGCTTATGGCACCCTTCGCTCTGGGGGACCTTGGCGTTATGAGCCTTGTCACATGACCGCTCGCTCGTGGGAGCCTTGGAGTGAATATCTGTTTCACGTCACCGTTCGGTCTCAGGAGCCTCAGTGTGAGGATCAGTGTCGCGTCACTGTTCGCCCTTGGGAGGCTTGGTGAAAGAGTCGTTTACATCGGAGCTCACTATGAGAAGCCTTGGAATTGAGCGGTTTACGCCGCAGGTTCGCTCTGTGAAATCTTGACATTAGATTTTGACCGGGCATGTCCACATACAGGCGGATTTCGAACGAAAAATAAACAAATGTCAAAACATACCCAAACATCACCCACAATAATCCAAAATCGTCCCCACACTATTTTGGGATATTTTTGAATACTCCTGCTTCGAAGGACACGCACGACTTAACATTAAAAGCTGCTTACGCCACCGTTCGCTCTTGGGGGCCTTGGCGTTCAGAGCATTCTGCGCCACTGCTCGGTCTCTTGGGGCCCTTGGCGTTCCAATCGCTTTACGTCACCAGCTCGCGTGATGTTGGCGTTCCCATCGCCCTGTGCTCTTGGGCTGGACCTAAACGGTGCTGTTCGTTATGTTGTGGTTTTGTGCTTCGTTCTGCTCTGCCTGTTTTCCTGCACCTCCCTCCCACAACGAAAAACAAAACACAGCCGAAGTCCAGCAAAACAGCGTCTAGGTCCAGCCCTGTTGTGCTCATTTGGAGCCACGGAGTCGAAGCTGCGTCCGCCAGTGGGCCGCCCGGGGGGGGGGTCCTCGGAGGGCCCCTTTGAGTGTCTTGCGATCTTCTCGGGGCCGTTCTTGGGCCTTTCTGGGCCGTCTCGAGGGGCTTGGCCATGGAGCAGTGTTGAAGTCCTCTTCGGCCCTTTGTGGCGGCATCCTGCGGCACTCTTGGGGCTTTACCAGCCTCGAACTTATCCCTATCCCTAAGATTGACACGCCAAGAGGCGATGACAATCCTAGGGATGCGCCCTCAAAAAATAAGGGAATCCCTAAGATTGGCATCGTGATGAAGAGATGCCCAGCATAGGGATAGGGATATGTTCCAGGCTGGTAAGGGCTCTCTTGGGAGCCTCTGCAAGCTATCTCTGGCCCCTCCTGGGGTTCTATACGTGGCCGCCGCGGGGCACTCCCGACCCGCCCTTTGGGAGACGCCTGGGCCGTCGGGGGGCCAACTCGGAGGCCCTCGGGGCCGTCTTCGGCCAATGTGGGCCCGTAAAACCAGTGACACCATGGAAAAAACCCAATCAATGGATGGTTTTCGCTGAGGAGATCGACTGGGAACCGGGGAGCCCGGGAACCCAGAATACACCGAAATCGGCCCGGAACCAATAACCGGGCACTCGGGAACTGGGAACCGGGAACCAGGGAACCCGCGGGCCGCAGACCCTGCTGCAAAAATCGGCGGGAAGCTTTCGCCAAATCTTCCATCCTCCACTAGGACCCCTTCAATGCAAGCACTGATTTGACGAACGAACAACACACACCCATACCCATAGGGGGGTCGTTGGGAGGAGGACTGGCTATAGGTATGGGTGCGTCTCGTCGGACCCTGGGGAACGCTCCCGTTCGAGCGGGGACCCCCATCCGACAACACGCACCCACGGGACGCCAGAAATGATCGAAACCTAATACATTTTTACCCTAATCGTGAAAGACTAACCCTGACAATCCAACCCTAACACACTGACCCTAACCGTAACACCCGGACGCTAGCACCCTAACCCTCTCCCTTACACCCTTACCCCAACACCCTAAACCTAGACTCTAACACACGAGGCCTATCACCAGAACCCTGCAACCGTAACCCGAAACCTAACACGCGAACCCGAACACCCTAACCCTTACACCCGGACCCGAACATCCAAACTCGAACACCCTACCTCTGACCCATAGCCTCCTCGATCATACGATCCTGACCCTGGATAGCCATAACTCCCTTAATCCTACCACACTGACCCCCGACCCTCACCCGAACACCCTAACCTGGAGACATCCTAACCTTACCACCTTCACACCGCCGTAACCCTAAAACCATGAACCTACCCTTAACAAAATTACCCTCGATACCCAACGGTACCCCTAGCTCATCAACCTGGAACGTATCCCTAACACCCCAGCCAAAACATCATACCCATACCCCGACACGATAACCATAACGCCCTAACCCGAACATCTGAAACCGAACACCCTAACCAACATCCTGGCCCTCACAATCAAATTCCAATCCTGACGCCTGAATCCTAACACCTTTACCCCAACCTCTACCCTGATGACCCTAAAACTAAGCGCAACGCCCTAACCCTAATACCTTAGAACTACACGCCACCTACAACTGACATCGAACAACTCCTTCCGCCGCCCCTGAGCCCTTCCCCGCAAAATTGCCCGTGCAAGTGAAATCGTGTCCTGCACATGCGACGAGAATCCCTTGCAAAACGTACCACGAGACACACAGAAGTTCCTGCAGCTCATGCGATCCAGATCAAGACATACCATCAAGTCCACGCGTGCGCACGTTTGTCACCAGCGATGCCAGGCGTGCCCCAGGCCTCCACCCAGCGCTTTACAAGCGTCCTCTGGCGCTCCATGGCTTTCCAAGCGTTCCAAACGCCCCCCAGGCGTTCCTAGGCGACCCCGGACTCCTTGGGAAGGTTCGCCAAGCGCTCACGCGTTCCCATGCGCACGCCTACGCGCGCGGGCGCACGCGCGAGGAGAATGTTGCACAAAAATCATGCCAACTTGAAAAGCAAACTGGTCACCGTTAAAGTGCAATGTCGTTGCCTGACCAACATGGAGCCTTTTCCACTGTGGGCAATACAGGCGTCCCCATACGTGCGCGCGCCGCGTGTGGAGGGCACATGCTGGCAACAGAACAGAAGAAATCACCCAAACCCATGTTGGCTTGGATGTCAAATTTGTCACTGTTAAGGATTGACTGTGCTTTTCCCAGCCAGCAGGGATAACTCGATCGTGAGCTATACAGAGCTCCCAACGCACGCACGCGTGGGGAAACCTGTACTGTCCAGAAAAAACGACATACACAATAACCCATGTTAATTTGAAAGTCCCAGCGGGCACCGTTAAATGATGGGTTTAGCTTAGAGCCCAGCATCGCGACTTTTCGATTGCGGGCAACACAAATACGCCGACGCATGCGCCATCCGACGCGCGCGCGTGGCGAGTCCTGCCTTGTCCATACAGCAAATTGTATACCGAAACCACTGCGAACTCCGAAGTCCAACTGGCCACCGTTAGGAGGTCATTATAATTGCCAAGCCGAGCGGCGAACTTCTAGTGTTGGCAGCGCACCGCTCCCCACGCGCACGGGATGTGCTGCGCTGTATTGTCCATAACACAAAACGCACGCCAAAACCTACGCGAACTAGCTAGTCCAACCGGCCACCGTGAAGGTTTCACAGCAGTGTCCAAACCTAATCGGGCGGGCATCAGAGAACTCACGCGCGCGGGCATCCGCGCGCGCGTGAGAAGCGCTGCCTTGTCCGCAAGATAGCATAAACCATCTTGGCCTGGAAACTACGGTGAACCATTAAGCCTTAACGGTTGCCGATGACAATTCGATTTGCACCTGGCTTCTGTTGTATGGTTTCTCGAATGAACAAAACAGAATTAGCCTCGGGCGCACGCGTACGCGAGCGCGTGGGGCAGTTTGCATTGCCACAATTGGAAATTCTGAACGCTGACTGGGCCAGTAAAGCAAAAACCTGGACGCTGGGCAATTGGATTCCTAGGTTGACGACGGCAACGGTGCACGATGCCAACACTTCGCGCGGCAGATCTCCCAAGAAACCAGCGCGCGGGCGTACGGTCAGTTCTGTTGTGCTCCCTATGGAATCATCGCCATGTTCAAACATGACCGAATGGTTTTCCAAATTCGCGAAGCCTCTTGTGAATGCGCTGCGTCATTAATAAGATAATCATCCCCACGCGCGCGCGCGTGCAGTGATGCAATGCCTGCAGTAGAAAAGTAGCCACGCGGTTCGAAAACTAAAAGTGGATGCTTAACAGTGTCAGATTTGATTTCCAAGTTAACATGATTGCTGGTGCCTGTTTTGATTTGCTGGACACAGCAAATCTCCCGAAAGATCCCCGCGCAATCGCGCGCGCGTCGGGAGTGCTGTACTGTCCGCAATAGGAAATCACATGTTGGTCTGGGAACGCAACTGGAGCCTGAACGGTGGCAAAGTGGATTTCGAAATGCACACGGTTCCCTGCGCACGGATTGCATTAAATGCAATCCAAAAAAGGTCACGCGCGCGCGTGGGTAGTACTGCCTTGTCAACAAAAGCAGTGTCGGCATGTTAGCTTGCATGGTAAAGATGACCCTTGACGGTGACCTATGAGAGTTCGTAGCGCGTATGGGTATGGTGTATGTTTTGTACAGTGGACAATACTACACTCCCCACGCGCGCGCGGATCGCCCAGGTGACGCTGGTTATATGAGATCTGGGCGAGACGCTCCAAGGATTGGCTTCTGATTCCCAGGCCAACACGACGATTTGCACATCGCAACTAAACAAAGCTCCGCGCGAGCGAATAGCTGGCGCGACAGCGACACGCCAGCACGCCTGTTGCGAGTTCCACCAAGTGGTGGTGATGGACAACAACGCACGTTATGCAATTTTGGGTCTCCAATCGGCGCGGGCGCTATCTGTGCACATCGATCCAGGCCAACGTGACGCCTTTCCCACTTGTGCGACTATCAGACACTCCACCCGTCGCGCGCTGTACGGCACAAGACCATGGGGTACACATGTGTGAACAACACCTGAGTTTGAGTATTCAGTCGGTGCGCGCACGTTGTCTTGGGAAACCAATCGGGCAAGCCCTTCGGACCCAGCGGAATGTTCGATTGACCCACTGGCCAAGCGACGAATCGACGAATCCACGGGGGCAAGAATGGAAGGCCGCGAAAATCACAGCGAATCTCACATAACACCAAATACACCCAAACTGCCTGCGATGTCATGAAGAATTCCACGGGATTCAAGGAAGCTGCACCAAAAATGCTCTCGATATGGACATTGCTCAAGTTCGCAAAACGAATGAGCCCATGCAGCACTGAACACACAATTTGACTGTTGAGTTTCAAACCTTGGGTGAATCACTTCCGCAGTGCTTCTCCGACGTGGCCAACTGCAGAACCACAAAGGGAATTGGTGAGCTGCGTTGCGAGACCCGACCGTCAGTCCCCGAGAGGCAGAAGTGGACCCGATGATTCAGAGGCATCGCGTGACACCGCCTGGCAGCGGCGAGGCGGAAGAGAATGGCGGCAGGGTCGACGAGCCCGCGGAAAAGGGGGCACGGCTCAGAGCGGCCCGCGCAAACCGTCCAAACTGCTGGCCGCTGTGCGCCAGGCAGGCGCGAGCCTGCCTGATCTGCACTGCGGCCTACCTGCGGGCCCTCGGGATATCCACCACGTCGATTCCTCCGCCCTCCCTGGCCATCGCTCGGACGTCCATTCCCTGTGTTTTTGTATCGGCTTCGTGCGTTGTTTTTTCGCCAAATGATCAAGGATGCTCCTCGATGGTCCTCGCCGAAGGAAACATGCACACGTCCGAGCGATGCCAAGCTCCTGCACCCTCATCGTCCACTCCTCTCTCCTGGGAGAGGGAGGGGAAGGAGGTGGTGGTGGCGTATACCTTCCGGCCACGTACTATATACAAGGAGAAAGAAGGTGGATGGGGTTGTGCCACACAGCTCCGCGCGTGCGCCGCGCAGACCGATCTGGCGGCGTCGGAGCAGCTCCACAGTCCGACTCGAGCTGCCGGGATGTGGACGCTGCCAGTCGAAAACTTGCCCCCGAAGAGTGCCAGCGGGCCACGGCCCTGCTCGCTCGAAGCAGGCGTGCTGGCGCCACTCCCTGGCAGAGAGGCCTGCGCTTCCCTTGCGCTCTCCCGATTCCCGCATCACCACCGCCCAACCCCCACCACCTCACCCTCGACCAGTGGGCCAGACCTAAGCTGCGCGGTTGTCACGTGCGCACCATTGGCCACCATCGGGCCAGACTTGGGTCGGGCATGTCCTCCTACACGCGGGTTTAGGGCGAAACAACAAAAATAGTTGAAACATGTTGGCAACATCGTCCATTGGCTATTTGTTATAATATGTTTGAATACTCCTCCTGTAAATGGACGTGCCCGACTGAATGCCAGACAATTCCACCGTTGGTCATCCCCACTGCGCACCTCTCAGATCCGCGGCGCCTCGCCATCGCAGTGGAGGATCTTTCGGTTGCGCCTGAGTTTCCCCGTGGGCGCGGGGAAGGGCACCTCGCTGCCCTTCGAGAAGACGGCCGGCTTCCAGGCGTCGGGGACGTGCGCCTGCATCACCGGGAGGTTGCGGTAAGCTCCGACGTTGCTCTCGAGGCCCTGACGGCAACTCCAGGACACGTTGCACGGTTTCGAGCTCCTCTTGGGCCACGCCTGGAAGCCCTCGAACGTGACAAAGAGACAGAGGGCGACCTCAGCGTCCACCGCGTTCACAAACGCATAACCGCGCGCCCGGTTCGTCTTGAAGTCCATAGGCACGTACACCAGGTCAAACTTCCCTTGGAAGCCTTGCGAGTTCAGCAGCTCCACGAACGTGTCTCGCGTGAAAGCGTAGGGCACGTTGCGGAACAGCACGGTGGTGCGGTACTCGGCACAACTCGACGACGGCGGCTCGCCAATCGGTTTCTCCAAACCCGGGGGCGGCAGCGCCGGCGCCAACGACGAGGCACGCGGGCTGAAAAAGGCCATGTCCTCCTCAGCAATCTCCGAGGAAGTGCAGGACGGTGTTCCGAACGACCACTGTCCCGTCGCCAAAACCTGCGGGCCCAGAAGGGCACCGAAGCGCCGCGTTCAGCGCCGCTCCCGGCGCGCGCAGCTGCTGGCTGCACGAAAATGTCTGGGCCAGAAAAGGAGGGGGGGGGGGGGGAATTTGGGAGGATGTCCTGGTCCGGGCTCAGGGCCCCCCGGATATCATATAGATATGTCGAATCGACCCCTCGGGACAACCATCGGGACAACCATCGCATTGTCGGGTGCATGCTTGCAAACCGCTCGAAACACACAAAGCGCCGAGCAAACATTTGAATCGGAATCAATATTGACAACCATCGGGGAAGCCATCAAGAAATCCGTCGGGGACAAAGACAACCATCGCGACAACCATCATAAAAACAAACGGAACAACCATCAAAACCACCATCGGGAATACCATAGGAAAGAAACAATCGGAATTAACAATTAACGTCGGGCCAACCTTCGGAATAGCCATCGGGACAACCTCAAGAACGACATTCGGGACAACCGGCAAGACTCTCATCGGACAAGCGTCGAAGCTCGGGAAGACCGTACAAACGATTATCGGGACGACATCAAAACAACCGATGGAAGAGCATCACCACCAACTTCGCCAACTGGATTGGGGAGAGTCCATTGCTCTGGTCTCTCCCCCACAGCGGCGGGATCACTCCTCTCGCGCCGTGTTCGCAGCATCGCCTCGCCAGCGCGCGCGCGCCAAAAAAACGAGACCGCGAACGATTTCCCATCTGGGGCCTCCGCTTCAATCCTACATATAGCGGACTCCCATGCGGGGTCGGAGTAGATGGGGTCGGGGGACATCGCCGCATCGCCGATGCGTCGCCGAAGCATCGTCGATGCGTCGGCGATGCATCGGCGATGCAACGGCGATGCTGGCGCGGAGAGGATCGGGCACCACGACAAGCAGCATCGCCGATACATCGGCGAAACACTGCCGACGTCTTGTTATCTTCGTCGTTGTCTTCTTTCTCATGGTCCTTCTCCTTTCTCGCGGTGTCTTTCTCTTTCGCCCTGGCTATCGGTTCGTCGCCTTCTTTATCATGGTCCTTCTTCTCCTCATCTTCCCCCTCCTCAACTTGCTGCTCGTGGCGGTCGATGAAACCCCGTGGCAGCGCAAACCTGCCCTGCCCCTCCCATCCGGCAGAAACCTGGTGGGGAGAGGGGGCTCATCAGGGGAAAGGCGAGAAGAAAGCATGAGATCACATGCGAGGTCAACGAAGAGGTGACATTGGGAGATGCACGGAAATGTCTCACCTCCGCTTGTAGAAGCCGCCTGGGGGTAGCCGCAGTGGCTCGCTCTTGGGGGCAAGAGGCCGAGGGCGGCGGCGGCTGCTCTCTAGGAGGAGAGGTGCTGCAGATGACATGTTGTTTTGGAGTGGGCTAAAGACATCCCAGGCGGCCAGGATAAGATCAAGTTCTGAGTCTGGTGCCCCGCGGGGACCAGTTCAGGGCCTACGAATGCCGTGGAAGGGCGGCGAGGTGGCACGACGAATCTGAAATGCAGGGCGATTCGCTCCCCCCCCCCCATCCCGCGCCTGGTAAGAGACTCCGCCGCATCTCTGCGCCCCACGGAAAAAACCCTGCCGCGCCCCCGCATCCCTCGGAGGTGGAGGGCGCCGAAGAAGTGGAAGCGCAGGTGGAGCAGAGGGAGTAAGAGGAGGTAGGAGAAGCGGCGGCGGGATGCCCTCCCAATCCCCTAGGAGCAAGGAAAGGCGACACCAACACCAACAGGGCGAGGCGATGCGAGGAGCAAGGGGGGGTCTCCCTGGTGGTGTGGTCCCCCCCTCTCGCTCGAGACATCCCCAGCCTCCAGCTCGGGGAGGCATCGTGGACCTCCTCGCTGGAGGTGGGCCCCCTGGTGGTGTTGGTGTCGCATCTCCCCCCTCCGATCCCCCGAGGTCGCAGTCGTCGAAAAAGCGATGTAGATGGAGCAAACGGTGTCGGGAAAGAGGTTGGCGCGCATGACCATCGGAGGTGGATGTCGATGAGGTCATCGAGGTCGGCGAGCCTTCGATGTCGGGGGCGTGGTTGGCCAATGCCCTGCTTTCCACCATGGCGCGCGCCAGCGTGGGAGCTGGAGTAGGCGATGTGTTCGTGGTCGGAGGTGTGAATGTCGCGCATTCTCTTCGGTGGCGGAGGGATGGAGTGGGTGGTAGTACCTGCGGTCGGCGTCGGGCGCGCAGGCACCTCGCGCGGCGTCGCGCGGTGGCAAGGATGGCCACCGCTAGCGGTTAGGGGCGTAGTTGGGTGACGTAGTCGCTGGCCTTGTCGAGGGCCTCGTGGGGGCAATTTTTAGCCGAGGTGATGTCCCTCGGGATGTCCTGCCATCGCGGCGAGGGTGCCGAGCTTGACCAGGATGTCGTGGTGGTGGGGCCGGTAGTCGGTGATGATGTCTGCGATCAAAGCCTGTTTGCTGCCTCGCATGCTTCTGGAATGTGCGATGGCCCACAGCTCGTTGCCGCGGTTGAAGGACACGTTGAAAGCTGCGACCGCGTCGCCCTCGTTGACAGCGACAGAGCCGTGGGCAATGGAGTCTTCGAGCTTGGCGTGATAAGGGTAGCGTATGGTAGCGTCCATAGGACAGGTGATTGTTTCGGGATCTACCTTCTCCTGGGTGATCGTCGCAACTAGGAACCAGCCAGTGGGCGTCTGGGGCTCCACTTGCGTCGGGGGCGGTTGCTTGTCATTCGTGCTGGACGCAACACTATTTGGCGTAGGGTCGGAAGAACTGGATGCAGTAGTGTGCGTGCATTGTTCTCCTGCCGGAGATGATCCCAGCTCGGTGTTCGAAATGACGTGGTCGATATCTTATGTTGCATGTGCTGTGCTACCTTCTTTGGTCGGTATGGTGGGGGAGGCTTTGAATATTGCAGGGTCGGGGTCTGGGTTGAGCGTGTTTTGGGAGGAGATTTGGTCAGCTGGACTGGGCGCCACGGGCGAAGGTGCACTTGCCGGCATGATGCTTGTCATTGTACTGTCACTAGTGGCTGGCATGGTCGCGCGAGTCACTTGGGCTGTGTTGTCGGTTGCAGACGTCGATGCAAATTGCTCTTTCTGGGTCGTTGCACCCTCTGAAAATCGGAACGCGCTTCGGGGGGTCTCGATGTGAATCTGTGCGATGTATGCAGTGGCCGTCGTATGGTGCGAGTATGGGATTGGGACTACGCATCTGCTTGGTGCGATGGAGGATGCGACATGCACGCGGGGAGGGAGGGGGGGGGCTGCCGCGCGCATCGGAGCGACAACGATCAAACTGTCGCCGAATATGGTGAAGGGCTTGTTGGCTTGAGTGAACTGCAAGTGGGGGAAAAAAAGCCTGGTGCCTGCTCGCTGTACCCTAGATGCGTTCGGTCGACCCATTCGTCGAAGTATGGTTCCCGCAGGTAGTCGGTCCGCATCTTTGCGAGTAAGTCGTGGATAGTCAGTGTCGTGGCTTGCTTAGCCTGCTCAGTGGGGGTATCTGGGCCTCGGGCCGTGGTAGAAGTTGCCGTCCCTGTCGATCCTGAAGGCCTCGATGTCTTGGTCGGTGAGTGCCCGAATACAGCATGGGTCGTGGCTGGAGTCGCATGGGGACTTCCACTGAGAAGCGCCGGTGTCCCTGTAGTGATCATGTGCGAGGAATTTCTCTTGGTCTTGAGGGACGAAAAACGAATTTCTCTTGGTCTTGAGTGCGTGGTCTATAAACCTCCTGGGGCCACCCAAAACCTAGGGAGCCGCCAGGGCGCGGCACATCGCGCAGGGTTTGCCCTGTCAGCCCACAGGAGTTTCAGAGCACAGCGCCTCGTAAACCAGGGTAGTGGCGTGTTTTTCTGACCTTGAAGGTCGGCGTGCGCGGTCCAACCAGGCGGTTGTCTCCCGTCGTGGGATTGGTCGGGCGGGCGCGCGTCGCCGTGCCTGCGCGCTGCTGGGTCACTGGGGCTGCGGAAGCTGCGGTTGGCCACTGGCGTCGTCGCGGTCATTTGACTGGGCTGCTGCCGGGGGGTGGGCCAGGCGGGGGGGCGCGGCTGGTTGGGAGTCGGAGCGTTGGACTCATGGTGCAGGAGCGGGAACGAATTCGGCACGTGATTGGGCATGTTCTGGTGGAGTTGTGGGGTGGAGCGCCGCGGAATGATCTGTGGGTCGGCGCGCGCGGTAGTCGTGCGCGCTGGGCGCCGCGCTTGTTGTGGTCGCGCTTTCGGGGGGTGCCGAATCCCAATCGGGGAAGTTGCTGTGGGTCCAGTTGATGGGCTCACTGCCGGCGTTGCGTAGCTTGCGGCAGTAATAGAAGGTGACGTTTGCTGTGACTCTCCTCGTCGTCGATGAGATGCTGTCTTGCTTTGTGGGCCTCGGTGTCGAACAGCTTGTCGGTGTCGGCGACCTCTGTCAGCATGGCGCCGCCCAGTGTGATCTCGGTGGGTTGCTTGTACTCGGGTGCGTCGTAATCAGGTCGCTGTCTAATCTCGGTGGGGGAATCCACGTCGGGGGTGAACTCCATATGGTGGACGATGATATCCCGCTTTGCGGCCTCCGCGTGGACGTTGATTGTTCCGTCCACGCTTGTTGTGCAGGTATCCGGAATGGTAGTGACTTCCTGCAGAACTTGTGCGGGGTACTCGGTAAGGGCGTTCGCAATGACGGCTGGCCACTAGGGCAGGTCACTGATTCGCGCGCTCAGCCTGAGTAACGCAACGTGATCGATCTCCCTTGTTGGTAATGGTGATGTACGGGAGGTGGAATCGTTCCGTTGAGGTGGAATCTTTCCGTTGAGCGGTGCGCCTACCTAGTGTTCTGCGAATTGTTTCAAAGGCGCCGCATGCAATGGCTTTGTTCGTGTCCTCGATGCACGGCATCTGCCGTAGTGTCCGGCAGGTTCTCGGGTCGTGGTACGCGGGTGGATTCGTCGGCAAGCACGGCGGCTGCGCGTTCGTCCTCTGGCGCCGACTCGGCAAAATTGT